TTGTGAAATCATGATGATACATCCTAAATCTTTCAGAAGGTTAAAATGGTAATTTATTATCATTCAGAAAACAGTTACCAAACAACATTATTTCATTCAGCACTTAACCATTMTGACCCTCTTAACCATTCTGACCTCTTAACTATTCTGCACTAAATCATTCAGCAACTGCCAAACAACCCCTTATATTTCACACCAAAAGTTAAAAGCCATTGACAATTGAGATTGCCACATGATCCTCAAAATTGCCGAAAAACCATCCGACTAGTCCCCTTAACCGGTTCGTATAACATAAGTTCTATAACGGGCAAATTGGGCCTATTTGCCCATCAATTTGTATATTGTACGTACTCATATATTTTAGAAATGCATGTAATATAATAAACTCTAGAAAATGTGGTTGCAATTTTATTTGTAAAAACATAACATTTGACTTGGGATGTTGGATATACGGTTTAACAAATGAACGAAATATTACTCGAGATAAAAGTTACTAATTTTAAAATACACGCAAAATCATGTATTTTTGTAAAAAGGGTGAGATTAAAGCTGATCAACGGTCCACATCCCTTTCTTAAACTTATCACTTTAACTATTATTGGACGAAATTGTGACAAAATTGATCCATTCCCACAGCAAGTGCAAGATATCAGTAGACCAGCCTAAGGATTATGAAAAAGGTATCAAAATTACCTTACTTTTAAGATGGTGAAAGGGATATCCCCACAATGGCCACCAATGGCATCATATATAAAATCTTCCAACTTTTTTTATAGAACCAGCTAAACCATACATATGAAAACTACCAGTTTCAATTCAAACCACCATTTCCCGGTTTCACTTCCGCGCTTCAGCCTTCTTTTGGTCTTTCGCTGAAAATACAAGACACGTGTGTATGAGAAACTTCGGCTTTTCATGTTCATAACAACAAATAAGAGAGGAGAAAGATTTAGAACAGTACCAGCCTTCTCTTCTTCTCGTTTCTTAGCAGCTTCTGCCCTCTGCTGTCTGATAAGAGCTAAGCGTTCTGCAAATACAATGAAAGCTCAAATTCATATATATATATATAGAAAGGGAAAAAATACAACAAAAAGAACAACAACATTTGATCGTTGGAAGCATGTAAATTATTAATATCCATATCCAAAACAAATGGAATGCTTAGAAAATCTGGCTATTAATTGTGACAAAATAAGAGAAACCTTATGAATCAAAATATATTCAATCAATCTTTGTAAGGTTCTTAATAAGAAAGAAAAGATAAGTTTGGCTTGAATTTGCCAAAAGAGAAAAGTTACATTAGATTTGGAACATTATGGAAAGAAAATTATTTCACTTACTTTGAGTAGTACAAAGATCCAACAAATAAAAAAAGATTTGTCTGAGGAATGGCAAAGTTGCCATAGTATATTATTTATTTATATATATATATATATGTATGTATGTATGTATATATACAGCATTCGAGTATGCAATAATTTCTATTCAAAAGGCTTCATTCTATTACTAATCACTATGCAAATTATATCACTCTCCATAGTCGTAAATTTTTTGACATAAATATACTTATAGATAGTGCTTATCAAAGCAACTCTAAACATGCAAAACATATGATCAAAGGTGGCACAAAATACTACACCCTCTCGGTGCTATAACCCTCTATAAGGTAAACAGCCTAGAATATATTTATTTCCAAAAATATAGGTTAGACAGAAAGGTCTAGTGAATTCCTGGTAACAAGCGTAGAAAAAGTAAGTTTCAATCTCATTTCTCATAAACATATGCACAAAAAGTTCATAAACGACTTCTTTACTAATCTGTCCATGATCATCGTTAGAAATATTGACTGTATTGGATTTAGTACACAAGTTTTTTCACTAACACTGTCATTATTGAAGGGCATACTAAACTTTTTAACCAATAATTTGACGGACTATTATGGGATAGTAGATATGCATATATAACAAATGAGGAATTGGTAGATAAAAGCTTTCGGAACTAAAAGCATTTCCTTTTTCTCCAAGAAATTATCAAGAAAATGTTACTATTATGTCCATTGTCATCATTAGGATATACTAATCCTAATGGTTTTGTTACACAATTTTCCTTTGAATTGCCATTATTGAAGGGTGTTGTCGACTTTGACTAATAATAGTCAATGCAGGAATTATATTGAGTGAAGGAAGTACGTATAACAAAGATGAAAAATAAAAAGAGATGATCTTTCAACACACTTGATATCAGAATGCTTACCTAAATCCTTCCTTGCTTGTTCTGTTTTCCCCTGCTCTTGCAACTTCATATACCTTTCATGAGCCCTCTGTTTCTCAATTTCTTCTCTGCGAGGAGTAAGAAAATACAAGACTAAGATGAAATTCAGATGATATCATATTCGAGAAAATCTTTGAAAACCCCAATAAACTTAATTTCAACTGAAAGCATGAAGATTAATGCAGATTCCTATAAAATATTACCCAATCTTGAAGGTTGGAAAGAAATGCCTAAACTTTGCACAAGGCTTCATACCAACTTCTCTTAAAACATGAAGGTGGGAGTTACATTATTTGTATAGACTATCAGGGTCCCCACTAAATTATGACCGCAAACTGTTGATGGGTAGCGAGTTAAAGGCATACACTTGCGTATAAATAAGAAGTTTGCAAGAGCATCCATTTTAAATATAGGATATGCATGTTAAGAAGTTATAATTCTCCCAAATACAAATTTTATCTCCTGTTCAATTTCTCCCATGTAAATAGATGAATAAATAGGATAATACATTGCTAAATGGTCTTCTACAATCAACTTGTTACTTGCTCTAAACTACTGATATATGTGAACTTTCAATCACTTGAATATAAACATATATGGAAATATACAGGAAACTATATGAAACAAATTTGCCAATAGATGATTCTCATCAAAGAATAAATCAATATAAACCACGAAACTTAACATTAGACTTGATTTTTCCTAACCATGAAAGTGTGTTGACAGAGCATATTTACTCTCATCAATGTTCCACAAACGATCAAGTGGCAAGTATGATGGTAACTTGAAGCTTCCATTAAATGTTTAAAAGAATGAAAAGAGGAAAGCATTTACAAACCTTTCACGTCTTGATAGTTCAGTAGTTTTCTCCAGCTGAACAGCATTGCAATTAACAGAGTCAATCATAATAATTACAAAAGAAAAAAGACTATTCAGTTAATACATCTATATGCATAAATTGACTTACATCAACATCTCTTGCTTTTAAGGTCTTCGGCCTAGCCATATTGGGGTTCTCGATCTCAATAATACCTTGGGTTCCTTTCTTCCTCTACAGAGAAAGAAAAAAAAAATAAGCACACACGGACTGTATAGTTTCAAAGAAGAAAGATTGTGTATATGAGCAATGTTATATCCATGATGAGAAAAAATTGAAAACTGACATCAGAGTCTTCCTCAGATGACTCTTCAGATTCTTCATCAGATCTTTCCACCTCTTCAACTTCAGCTTCTTCCTGGTAAATCAAGTATTAGACAACTCCAAGAAGAAATGAAGTAAAAAAGACTAATGCACATTTCAAAGTCGGCTTACTGCTACATATCAAATAACATATATAAATATCCTCAGCATGTTTTAGAGCAAAACAAAGGATCATTTTGGCTATGATTACTGAGTTTCAAAGAAATCCCTCTTTCCCTTTTACAGACAAAAGAAGAAAGAATCAAGATAAAATTTTGGAACAGAAGAGAACTGGGTGAACGGGATGGGGTCAACACAAAGGTCAAATTTGCTAGAGGTAAAAACTTCATCAAAGACTAAACATTTAATAAGGTGAAAACGAATAGTCAGCAATAAATGCACAAATTCTCAGCATCAGAGACCAGATGTACAAGTTGTAAAACAATTACTGCTCGAATTTTATGCAATGACCGATGACCATCTACTCTCTGATAAACAAAACGAAAACAAGGAACTAGATAACAGATCAATGAACGATTAATTAATCAAATGCATACCATTAATGAAATACTTCCCAAAAAAAATTACGAGAGACCTACTCAATCTAAGATACTAGAATCCTAAATCCCAAACTATTCCCCACTCGATCTAGTTTCCCTGTCTGCATACTAGGACCTAAGTTACAATTATAATACTGGTGACTCCATCAATGCCTTCACATAGTTATCAAGATGTGCACCATAGTGAAAAGCATGCACTTCTGCATGTATCCCTCGTCAAATATGATGGCCCAGCAAGAAAAATAATGTTTGCCATGGGCTGCCAAGCACAGCAATGTTGTCAAGACAATAACCCAGATTCAATCTTTCTATCGATGTATATAAATGTAAAACAGATACTACTGGACCTTTCAGTTTCATGATACACTGTGCACATGAAGCCTTTCTGTTCAACGAATAAAACAAAAGGTTAATTTTATTTTTAGATCCAAAAACCTAATTGTGACTGTCTACTCACTGCAGTCCCAGAATGCTGCTCGTCTTCTATTGCAGTAGACAGCTGTGATTCTTTCTTTACTATACATTTGTGCTATTGTCTTCAGTCTTCATTCAACAGCACATGAGGTTCATGGCTTGTACTTCATGTAAGAGTGAAACTACATGCCTTTTGGAAAAGGATTTTATCTGTTAAATTAATTCTTACTGTTCCATGAATCAACTCATCAAATGAAATGGTAAGAAAAGAAAAGATGAAATTGCTCTACATTTGTTTGTGATAATTAAGAAACCAGACCCTTTTTGTTATTGGAAGAAGCCATCAGTATGCTGGTCTCATTCTTTTGTTATGTAATATGTAAAGAAAACAACAATACATTCATCTTGTCCATTAATATTTTCTCTTTTCTAGTGTGATGTACTGCAGTAGTTTGCTTCGTATATGTTATTTGTTTCTCAAATATGTTATGCCAGATCTCTTCTCCTGTGTTTTTTATTCAAAAGTTTCAATAAAGGATATTGATTCAGTTATTGATTACACGGTGTTATCAGCTCAATTAGTTAATGATATACTAATTAGTACTAGCTAATAATTTTCTTTTAGTAATAAAATTTTCATTTATAACTTAATGTCACTCTAAAATAGATCTATTACACATGATATGATACTTCCATCTATTGAATGCATTTGGTATTTGGATATGGCACAGCTGCACCATGTCTCATTTCTGGCTGACGACATGCCTCTTTGCAGGAGCTCCAACTACCATGGAACTTCTTGACTTCTCAGACTAACATGACCGAACCCCATGCCACCATTAGTATTAAATCATTCCACTGCAAACCCAATGTTCTTTATCAAGAATGTCTATGCAAGAAAATGACCCAGTCACCTCCCATCTTGAGATAACATAAAGAGCATCAAGAAATTATTCAAACGACTACAATAAAAATAAAAGACTACATGTTGATGCATGAAGATTTAGTATGTTAGGTTAAGTATATCTCAGAAAGTTTAACACAATTAGGAAACTATTTGATTAGAAGTATTAATATTCAATTGAAGTGGACATTTGGAAATTTCCATATTCTATATTTGGTTTTAAATTTACTTACTTCTTTTGGCTGTAGTTCCTCCTTCTAGAGGTCTAGAGTTGTATATGATACTACAGTCTACAAATCACAATGTAATGCCCATCATCAAGATTAAGCTAATTCTACATCAAGCATAAGCAAAGTTGAAAAATATTAGCATCAACTAGCAGTCTCCAAGTAACTGATTTAGGGGACTGGATTGCTTCAAGCTCCAACTAAAGCACCTAGGAAACTCCATGCATAATTTGCAAGTGTCTCACCAACCATCATCTAGCAGAACATGACAGAGACTAACTTCAGAACTCAGGTTACTCCAGTAACAAATTCTCGACCCATTACATCTTCGATTGTCATCCTCTTATTTTTACAACAAATGTACAGGAGATATTTGAGATATTGTACCACAAGCCATTCAAAAGAAACCAATGACTCAAATAAGTATCTAACTTTACTTTTGCAGCTATAAGCTAATGTTCTCTCACTTTCTTGAGCATCTCTCTTTTTTCATCCAACTAATCCATCGCTTCCAAGCATACAATGACCAGGGCTTTGACATGTGTTTATCAAATAAAGGCACTGATGTTTATTTGCCAAGGATGTGCACACTGATGAACAAACACATCCATCCTTAACCAAGGCCTCTTTGCAGAGCAAAGTTCAATTTCTCATCTATTAAACAAGAAACTTGTTTACAAGCATACCCATTTCATATTTACTGAAGCATCATCAAGAACCCAAACACTAAGACCCTAAGCACTTTTAAGGAGACACAGACGGTTCCCTCCTAGAAAAGATCTTTATAATGTTCTTAAAAACTACTGTGAAGTCATCAACCTTATAAGCTAGTCCCTTGCACGAATAACTAAAATCTTAGATCGGGATGCACTTAACCTTCAATCATGTACCTACATCCGCCCATGTACGGCGGACCAACTTAAACACCTCCATGAGCAGCACCCCAATTGAGTAGTGACTACTCTGATAAAATATAGTAATACTAACCTTATTTGTAGTAAAATAACCATCAGTGTTCTAAAATTCCCCACTTATGGGGTGGTTAAGTAACCGCCTAGACCTTTATCGTTCCCCCACGATTTCAATTAATTTGAGCCACTTAATCGACCACCCAGGAGTCAAGAATCAACACCGGTTCAGTTATAAACTAATCATTGAATTAATTACTTCCATGTGTTCAGCAGAGATCAATCGAACTTTATCAACCTAGAGTGAATCTTTCTAATTCTTTCTGAGTATATGTACCAATAGAGCAATAAAACTAATCATATAGAAAAATAATTATGAGTGAACCATTTAAGCATCCGCCTAATCCCTTAGGTAATCAAGCGATAGTAAGTAACTTAATGGACCTAATCTGCTTAAAGCTTTCCAGGACACTGATAACCATCCTTCGCATACGAGGTGGCTGTAAAAAGATGATGGCAGTCTCGTAAACCAAATCACATCCATCAGTTGATAAACATCTAAACGTACACGTTTACCATAAGCAACCTCACTAACCTCCCTACAGGTCATTGTTTCATTATGAAGGATCGCTTTCAAGGATTATTTTCTTATAAGAAAGCATCCAAAAACATGCTTTAAGTTAAGAAGCAGCATCCTTCTATGTCAATTCGTAATAGAGTTAAGACGGATGAAGCAAAAAGTATGTGATGACTATTTTTGCAAGACTCTTGTCATCAAAGAGAGAACCTGCCACTTGGACTCTCGTCAGCAGCAACTTATCATCTAGATATGCGTTGATAGCTTGATCCGACCTAGGTATTTTGAAACTAGATTCTGTGAAGAAACAAAATTCTGCACACTATCGTATTTTCTATAACAGAGGACCAGCCAAAAAGTAGCCACTACTTGGTAATGTACATCAACCACAAAGAAACATCTAAATCTAGCAACTGTGTTATAGAATTACATGTACGCTTACCTTTTTAAATGTGCGAGGACGAGAAGATGTACCAGCAACTGCAATCATCAATAAAAAATGTATAATATTAGTTAGCACTTGTGCGTAGTAACCATCCAGATAAAGTGATATCAGATTTAGACCTGACAAAAAGTAGAATATGGACAACAAAAAAGATACATTGATCACGAGTAAACTTTGGACAGAAAAGAAAGTGAAAAGAAACAAATTGAAAAATAAAGCACAAAAACGTAATCTACTCCGCCATCTTACGATCAAAACCCACCATCCCACCTCAACAACTATCCGACCCATAAAGGGTCTAAAAAAACCTATCCAGTATCTTAATGATTGGATTGAGTTCAATGATGTTCACATTCTAGGGAACCCAAAGGAGTATTGCATGGAGAGATCACCTCCATGAACACTGTTCGGTAATTCGATACATAATGCTTCTAGGTTGTATGATGAACTGAAGGCACCCATATTAATAATTTCTTTAAGCTGTGGCATCAAAATAGCGGATATCAAGTATCATGCATCCATACCCTTGCTGCCATTGCATATAGATTTTCTTTATTGATCCTTACCAAAATAGAAGTTTCAGTCTAATAGCAAGTCCTTGTATACCACTACGATTTACATACCACCAAGCGCAAGACAACTTTTTACACCATTAAAATGTAACTAAAACAACAAACAAAACTCCAGGTTTTCTTTGCCCTAATTTCAATGAATTCAGCGACTTATTTTGGCAATTCAAGAAATATAACAAAAACCCAAATCAAATCGGAGGTCTAACGAAACCAGCACCAAACAAAAACCTTAAACCGACTGGTACGGATCCACCCCGCATTACAAAGGTTATACATACAAATCGAATAACATACAAAAAAAATTAATCATAAACAAAAGAAGATTATATCAACATACGCATCTCTTCGGGAGTAGAGAATTGGCGACGACCAGTAGGCTTGCCCTTAAACTTCCCTCTCCCCATACTTGATTGATTTACCGAACAAGAGTTGATCAAGATGAAGAAAAGAAGCAAGAATTTCTACGATTTCGAAACTCTCCCTTTAATCGGTGCGATAAATGTTCCCCCGTGTTGGAGAACAAAGGAAAAAACCCTAGTTGAAACTTGAAAGAAAGGAGAGTGGGGGTTATGGAGAGAGAATCTATGAAGGTCGGGGTGGCGTGCCTACGTGGACCGGTTGACCGCCGTAGGGTTTGGCAAAAGAGAGCATATGATTCTAGTTTTTCTTTTTTCTGTTTTTCATCATTTCACAAAAATAAAAAATAAAAATGTTTTGAATTTAATTTAACAATTTTCATGTGTGATACAAATAATAAAACTTTATTTTTTAATAAAAAATTAAAATCTAAATATTTATGAATTATTATATCGTATTAATAATTTTGAGTGTTTATCGTATATTTGAATGTGTTTGTATTGGGTTTTATTAAGTTTGATCGTAAAATTTTATAAAGCTTTATGCTTTTTAATAATAAGTTGTAAGTTTAGATTCTAAAACATTATGTATTAATATACATTATCTGATATTTAATAATACATTTTTAAATGTTTTGTCAGATGTTTTTTAATAATTATATAGTTTTATTTAAAGTTATTAACTTAAATAAATAACCCGCGAATAAACTGATATAAATGGACAAGAATAATTTGCAAAAAGGATGAAAGCATAATACGCACGAATTGGTAGAGATGGTTCTAGCCATTGAAAAAGCATAACGAACATCTTAAAATAACCGATCGTGTCAGTAGAGAAGAATATTACAGTATTCAAGATTCGTCGATATTTGTTCGGCAGATAGTGTTTCTTGAGCTATGATAAAGTTATGAATTGATCGATTGAGTTTGATATTTTATGAAGATTGTATTATGTGGCAAGGATTCATGTAAAGGAAGTTTATGTTAAAAAAAATATGTTGGTATATAGCGTCTTAAATTTCAAGACGTTCAATTTGTTTCCTTTAATTTGATGTACTCAATGTGCTTTCTGTTTTTCCCTTTTCAACGTTTCGTTAATGGTAAGAAACTTTAGTTACGTAATACTTTTTCGTGTTTATTGATAGTTTGACGAAACATGCAATAAAAATATTTCATAAAAAGATTGATTACTGATAAAATAAGCATATTGTACTTGAAGTTGTCGACATTTTAAGGACAATTTGTGTCAGAATAGAACGTATTTTGCTTTGTTTCTTATTTTAAAAAAACTATCAAAAGCGCAATTTTAACGTACATAACAAGACATCTCAATAAAAAAAAGTTCAACAATTTTCAAATAAAAGGTTCCCAAAGTTATATTACTTTTTTTTTTCACAATACCTTAATTGCATCAAAGACGATACATTCTATTAACCGCATAAAAAACATAATATGTTTCTCAAAATAAAGTTTTTGGAAATATATTTTCAAACTAAAAATAAAATACAAAAATATATTCATTTTAATATGATTTATCTGCAAAGTTTCATGAAAAGTCGTGTTATTCTCATGAATTTTTAAATCAAAAAAGTAATCCATTTTCGTGTACACAAATGCAAATTATATTGACTCGACCCACAAGCCTCCTTGAATACCTCGAATTGCAACTGTTGACTTCTTCTAAAGCAAAAGAAGCAACAGCATCATCATGATATGCCTTCTTAAATACCCTGAATTTTTGTAAGCATGCTCCTAGATCGAGACCATCCTATGCTAAGGACACAAAACAACACATTTCGTTTTTACAACGTATTCAAGATGATATTTGTGGACCTATACATCCAGAATGTGGGTCACAAGATTGACACTTTCACACCATTGACGCATGTCGCACTATCATCTACACGAAATGTTGCATTTGCAAAACTCCTAGCACAAATTATTCGTTTGAGGGTTCACCACCCTGATTATCCAATCAAGTTATACAACTTTATAATGATGGAGAATTCACATCACAGACATTTGATGATTATTGCATGTCTACTTGGATCGATGTAGAACATCTTGTAACCCATGTGCATGCACAAAATGGCCTCGTAGAAACTATCATCAAAAGGATACATATAATAACCAGGACATTGGTTATACGCACATTTACCCACTTATGCCTTAGGTTATACAATATTACATGCAGCTTCACATATTCGCTTTAGACCGACTGCTAGTCAGCTATATTTTTGCGTACGAGTTGGTAAGTGGATGTGAGCATGATATTTCTTATTTATGCATTTTTGGTTGCCCATTATATGCTTCACAATGTGAAAGTGATATGAAACGAATTCTAAATCTTTAAAATGTACGTTTACTAATATTGCAAAAGTGACAACATCACATATACAGTTATAAATTTACTTATAAGGTTAGAAGTCCCCAAACAGGGGCACGATTACGATGGAAAGAGTGTTCCAACCACACATGGTAGATGTGTGCTTGAGGTTGTGGCTCAAAAAAGGAAAAAGGGTAGGCAAAATTGGTTCGATAGATATCCAAGAAAGAAAAAGGAGAGTAAGGCACAATCCAACCCACTTATCAACAATGCAAAAACCCCTTCTCTTGAGATTAACTCTGATTATAGTTATGTCCATGAATCATTACTAGATGATGCTCTAAAGTCAACATTGATTCCAAAGAACAAAGAAACCTCCATGAACTATGAGAATGCACAGGAGTTGATGAAAAGATCATCGATACTCATTAATGATATGATTGCATATATTGTTGCTTGTGACATCATATAGCACAATGATATCAAACCACGCTTAGAATGTCAACAAAGAGCATATTGACCTAAATGGAAAGAAGAAATATAGGCGAACTAGATTCGTGGGCAAAAAGATAGGTATTGGTCTTGCTAATTTCACCAAGTGTAAAGATTGTATGACATAAATGGGTCTTTGTTAGAAAGCGTAATAAGAATAATGAAGTCACAATACACAAGGCTCGCCTTGTGGTACAAGGTTTTTCACAACACCCTAGGATTGACTATGACGAGACATACTCCCCGATAATGGACGTAATAATGTGTTACTATCGGACTAGAAATGCAACTTATGGATGTGTGTACTACCATATCTCTATAGGGATTTAGATTTGGAGATATATATATATATATATATATATGTGTGTGTGTGTGTATGTGTGTGTGTGTGTGTGCGCCTAATGGCCTTCCACTACCTGTGTCAAGTAACTCTAGACCATGGAATGCGTTTGTAAATAAACAGAAGCACTCTCTCTACTTATCAAAACAATTTGGACGGATGTGATATATCTGTCTAAGTGAAGACTTGTTTGGGAAGTGATATAAGAACGATCAATTGTGCCCTTCCATTTTATAAAGAAGACAAGTTCTAAATTTTTGATCATAGTTGTGTATGTTGATGATATGAATATAATAGGTACTCTTGATTAAATAAGAGATATTGCAGGCTATTTGAAATCCGAATTTGAGATGGAAGATCTTGGGAACTCGGTTTTGTCTTAGGCATAGAATTAGAACACCGAGGTTATGGAATCCTTATCCATCGGTCCGCTTATGTCCAGAAATTGTCCAAACGATTTAATATGGATAAAGCGCATTCGGCTAGCACTCCCGTGATCGGTCAAAGTTGTATCATCTGGATACAAGGAAAAATCCATTTCGTCCAAAGGATGATGATGATGAACTGTTGGGGGTTGAAATTCCCTATCTAAGTGCAATAGATGCATTATTGTACTTTAGCACAATGTACTCGACCAAATATTGTAGTCTCACTAAATTTGTTAGCTATATTTAGCTTAGTGTCAACGCAACTTTATTGGAATAGTATCAAGAATATCTTTTGATACGTAAGAGGAACCATTGACATAGGCTTATTCTTTCCATACAAAGAAAAAATGAGGTTACAATACCTACTTAGTGTATTAGCAATGAAAGTGTTACCATAGATGGAAATGGGGCGGGTAATAGGTAGGGAATGTACCCCCAACCCTGCCACGCCTAATCCTCCATGGGTTCGAGGGGGGGGGGGGTGAATCTCGATGGGTATGGGGAACCTATTGAGCACCCATTTAGGAAAACAATTGATTAATTATTTTAAAATGAAAAGAAAAGAAACCAGTTTTTTATTTTTAAAACAAATAAATAAACCTCAAGTTTAAAAAATATATAATGATATAACCAACCACTGCAATCGTAGTTCATGACAAATTTAAAAGTGTAAAAACAAAAAAGAAACTAATTAAATTATATATATATATAGGGTATATTTCTTTTACAATCTTGTGCATTTGTACAACCTTTACAACCCAATTAATTGAGATATTTATAGAAATGATTGAAGTTCATTTATTATGATTTGAATATTTATGGAATATGAATAAAGTTTATTAATTATGATTAATACTTTATATTAGGAAACAATTAATTGATTAAAAATTGAATGGTTGAGATGAGGGTTGTATAGGGTGTAGGAATGGCAAAGGGTGTAAAATAACATCCCTCTATATATATATATATATATATATATAGGGTATTATAAGGGGTTGGAAATACCGTTCCCTATCCCAACCCCAACCCCAACCCCAACCCTAACCCTAACCCTAACCCTGCTTCCAGTATAAAAAGCAATACCCATCCCTGCCGTATTATTCGATTAGATGGGAAATTCTCACAGTACCCTTCCCAACGGGTAAAATTTTCATAACTAAGTGTTACTCCCTATTATTAGTAGGTTTTGTTGATGCTAGGTATCTCTCTAACCCACATAAAGGTCATTTCCAAACTAGATATGTATTTATAATTAGGAACACAACGATTTCTTGGTAATCAACCAGCAAACCCTTGTAGCTATCTCATCGAACCATTCAGAGTCTATTGCTATGCATGAAGCACTTTGAGAATATATATGGCTAGTGGTTTAAGTTCTACCACTAAAAATCCTACATGCATTTATGAAGATAATGTAGGTTGTATTGAACAAATGAAAGTGGGGTATATCAAGATAGATGATATAAAACATATTTCACCAAAGTTATTTTACAATCAGCAACAACAAACTCTCCTCATGATTTAAGTGAATCCAAGTAAGGTCTAAGGAGAATATGACAGATTTGTTCACCAAATCATTGTCTATGGCTACATTTGAGAAACATGTGGAAAGCATTGGCATGTAAATACTTTCTAAACTCCCTTGATTAATGTATGAATCAGGGGGTAATAGACCAAAGAAGGTGTCACATGTAGCGTTGATGGATTATCTCTTTCCTTCACCAAGTTTTTGTTT